CGGCTTAGTTTCCTTCAGATTGTTTGCACACCTCTGTGCCCCATAGTTTAAAGAATTAACTCAGATGCTTGAGTTTACGTAAGAACTGAACCATGAATTAATTATACTGGCTAGATTAGTGTAACATATTGAGCCACAAGTTAATCAAACACATTTTAGCCTGTTGGGTTCTACAAAGCCAGCTAGGGTTTCTTATTCTTTTATGTCATTTTGCCTTTTCTCCCTTGCTTCAGCTTATACCTGGAACTCCCCAACAGAATTACATAATGCTGCTTTTCTATTTTTCTTTAAATTCCTTTGCAGAGCTCAATTTTCCCATGACGACTTTGCATGAACCTTTGGTTCCCATTCACTATGCAGCAATAGGTAAATGTAGTTCTTCAAATCTTTCTAATTCCATCTTCTATCAGCCTTAGTCAGGTGGAATTCTTTTGTTGCTGTTGTGCTACTCACAGTTACAAGCACTGAATTCATTTGCCAATTACTAGTCTAGTCATATCATTCTGGCCTACCACATCTGGGTTGTTAAAATATGGATAACCACTAAATGGCAGCAAAGAGATCTTCCTTCTTCTTTCTTTTTTTCCCCCAGTATCTCTTTGCATTTAGTGTTTGTCCAGGTTTTTGTAGCCCAGATAAATTAGACTTAGGTCACGAATCTCAAACTCCCAGCTTGTGGCTGACAACAGAGCTAGGGAGAGCAGTTTGCCAACCTCAGGTGGACTCTGCAGGTCTTCTCTTGGGTTGGGAGGAGTGGGTAGCTCTATGAAAGGGCTGGGGGAGCTGTGTTCCTGGCCTGCATTGGCACATTGTCACAGATGGGATCAAGATTCACTTTCTACTGCTGCAGCTTCTCCTTTGGGAAGGGTGCAACTTAGTGCTTGGGAGGAAGTAGGTTGCTGCAGGTGGAGTAGCTCCAGGGGCAGCTCTACTCCTGACCCTGAATCAGAGGACCATCTTCATCAGAGCCTGAGGACCATAGATGGTTGCCATACTTCTCAAAATCAGATCTGTTTGATGAGTGGAACTTTTCTTGAGGTTCAGGGAAGGGAGGGGGGATTTCACTGGAGGCTCTGTTTTGTAGTAGAGTTTGTTATTTGACAGATTATGTATGGTGGTGTGCTGTGGTGCTCTTCATTTTATTCTTTTTTTTTTCCTTACTAGAGACTTTTCTACTGGTGTATGGGAGAGCTACAGTGTTATAACCCTTGGACTGGTCCTTATGTGGCTCTTGTAGCAATCTGAGTTTGAGATCCCTGGCCTAGATCCTTTTGTATCCTGGCATTACTACTTTGCCCTTTAGTTCTTATATAAACTGGGAGTAAGAATTGGTCTTTAAATGTTCACAGAAAGCCGTGGGAAATGTTCTGAATGCAACACCAATATTTAAACAGCAACATATGAAGGAAGAGATTAAATAAGTATTTATTTATGGACTTTATCCGCTGCCTCAACCCAAGTAGATTACTTTGTAATCAGGGCTGCATTCCCATGCACATATATGAGAATAAGTCATGCCCTAGGAACAATATAGGTATTTACCTGATACCAGTTATGTATCATGTAGACATCTAATATAGGTAGCTAGATACTTAAGGTGACAAGAGCAGCTCTCCATATCTGAAGACAGGAGCCATCTCAGTCTACCTGAAAATTCTGTTATGAAAGCACCTAAAGTTTCAAGAGGAAAAAGGATAAAAAATAGATTAACCACACTGGATTGCCTACTAATGTATGAATTCCACAGTTAAATCAAAAGCACACACTGTTGACAGAGGGAGAAATTGTCAAGCTTTGCTTATGTGGAAACTACTCAAGAATCAGCATTAAAATTGATTTTTCTACAACTTTCCTATAGTAAATGCATATGTAAGATCATACATACATACATACATACATACATACATACAT